AAGCGATGGATGATTGCCTGGGCTGCATGGGGCGGGTGCCCAGGTAATAGCGCATGCCTAGGCGTGCACCCTAAGGTCCTTCTGGCGTGCAGACTATCTTTTTGAACACTAGTTGGATCTACGTTATTTGTCAAATCCACATACACCTTACATTCTTTTATTGCCATTTGACACCTTATGAGTTCTCTCTTATTTTCAGCAAAGCAGTAGAAACTACATGGACATGGAGCTCGCTACCCATAGAGTATACTGATCAAGGTACCCCGGCAAACCTGTTCCGATATGAGATGTAAGCAAAACTATAGTAAATTCCTGTGAATCCACAAAACAAGGACAAAAATGTTCTCAAGTTCATGTGCACATACATTCTTTTATATCAATTGACACCTTTCTTATGTGTTCTTTCTCCTTTTTTCAGCAAATCAATAGGAAAGTACATGGACGGAGCTTGCCACCCACAAAGTATTGTGATCAAGGTGCTCACCAAACTTGCTCCAGAGTGGCATGTGAGTGAATCTAGACAACATTCCAATGAATCCACACAAGAATGAGAAAAAGGTTAGCTATTGCCAACCTACACAAGCTGGTCTACATCCACTACAACTTGAACCTCTAACATCGAAAACTGAGAGGGAAATTGTGGATTACAACCCTATCAAATTGGATCACATATTTCTACAGGATACAGTTGAGTAGCTGGTGGAAGTGGAAGAGCCACTTCTCAATAATAGGACACCGGAGGAATAATTGGGTAGCCTCCTTAAAGAGGAAAGAGATCAAGTTAAAAATCAAGAGGCACAAGTTGAGGAGCAAGGGCAAGATGGGTGAGAGTGATGACAATGAAGAAACCAATGAACCAGATGATGCTGACATGAGGACCCCTAGGAATGACACAAGCAATAGGGTGGGAACGAGCATAAGGGAGATACTAGCCTTGGGAACTTTAGGCTAGGAGTGGTTGCCCAAGATACCCAAACAACAGAGGTCGTTCCAAACTATTATTGACCCTTGGTAGACGTGGTCAAGGTGAGGGTGCCAAAACACGATAGCTAGAGAGTTCCATTCTCAATAGGTAGGCCCCATGTTAACATTCAAAAAGGGGAAAAAAAAAGATAGTAGGGATGACCATGATTGAGAAGACATCGAGCCTCACCATCATTCATATTGGTTCATTTGACGTATATATTTGTAGCTATGAATGATATATGGAACCTATTACTACTATGTATGTCAACTTGAGTAAATGGCGGGCACTCTGACAATAAAACCACTATTGCCTTTAAGTTTATTATTTATTTCATTAACTATAACATTTTCTAAATTTTATCATTTTCCCATATTCCATTATTTATGGTTCTTCACATTTTTTTACAGCTTTTATTCAGTTTTTCCTGGCTCAATCCGGATCATATCCTAGTCCGGCTTTTAGAAAGCTGCATAGAGCTCCTAAAATGCTGAAAAAAGTTAAAGTAGACAAGCTCATACGAGTGATATGTAGACATGCCACTCACTGTCTTGTGTAGAATGTCAAGACGGGTCAACACATCCAGAAACTAGGTAAATACGAAGCTAATAAATGTAAGGCCCAAGTTTGGAACTCAGAACCTCTTGTAGATAGGGAGTGAGGTCTACTACTGTGAAACTCCTTGTGCGCACAACATAGGCAAATCATTTATTATGTAATACTAAAAATCACTATTTAATATAAAACACTATGGAACAAAATCCTTGGACTTGACCTCAAGACTTTTCCATAACGGGTAGTACGCTCTAGTGAGATTTACATAAATATCCCCCGAAATTGCTGCCATTTAAACCCCCCCTAAATTTTTTATTTTATTTTATGATTGTAGCCCCTTTTTTGCTTTTTTCTTTGGTTCCCAAATTGCTACAAAGTGACAAAGCCATTTTATGGTTTCGGATCTTCAAGAACTAAAGTTAGTGCCCCACATACGCTTTTCCTCGATTTTTGTTTTTATTCCCAAAATTTCTACCACTTTGGATCTTCAAGATCCAAAGTCACATTTGACTTTGGTATATGGGGACCTGACTTTGCATCTTCAAGATCCAAAGCTGTGATTTGGAAATAAAAATAAAACCGAGGAGGAATGGGCCACGAGGGGGCCTGACTTTAGATCTCCAAAATTCGAAGTCATAAAATGGCTTTGTTATTTTGGATCTTGAAGATCCGATTCGTAAGTGGTGGTAATTTGGTAATTAAAGAGAGAGAGAGAGAGAGAGAGAGAGAGAGAGAGAGAGAGAGAGAGAGAAGTAGTAGAGTACGATATAACGAAGTAAAGTAAAGGTTAAGGGGTTAAACGGTTTTAAAAGGTTAAGTTAACGTAACGAACGTAACGTAACGTACTAA